TCCGCCCGATACCGTAAATTAGCAGACCCACAACAACATGTCGAGATTGCAGCAGAGACAAGCTGGAGCATGCAGAGCAAAGTGTTCTACCGAGGCGAACTGTGCGAGCTTTTGTTTATTCCGCTACTCTTGCACGAAGTGTTTATTGAAATGCTATAGTTAAAAATTTAGCATTTCGCGTTAAAAATCCTTTTAGAAAACCCCACGCAATTGATCGTCACTGAAAATCAAAGCGGCATCTGGATGATCGCGATTGAACCCCTACAGGGTCTACTATGGGACCGTTACACGCTTCGGTTTCCATTCTCTCAGCTGAGCCGATAGAGTATCGCTCTGGCGACCCCGAATGGAAGGAAGGCTCGGTGTGCTTCAACCTTTCACTTCCTCTCTATATTACTGCAGACTTGTTGGATTCAAGCTCGTGGAATGAGAGGTCTGGTTGACGAATATTAGCCAAATCGGCAATCATGTATTTCTTACTTGTTATCACTAAAGGAGAAAACGATCAGCGGTATGCCCACTTAGGATACAACTTCGTTCAAAGAATCCGCTGTTGGGTTGTACAATTGGTCCGATCGCTCGGCTTTCTTTTCAATTTTGCTTTTTCCGTCAGAACTCAATGGTTCAACTTATCCCGTCAAAATTTGATCTTAAGCTTTTACCGTCGAAACGTTGAAAAACTGAAGAAGGTGAAACTAAGTTTGAAGAGTGTATCTGATTGTTTTTATCTGATTGTTTTCGTCATCTTCCTCGAAAATCTCTTTTCATCTTTTCCTTGGAGTAATCCGATCACATTATGGACACATTTTGACGTAAGCCTAAAAGTCGACATAATGCAATGAAAGTCTTCTTCTCCCTAGCGTTAATCCCGCGCAGTCGCAGTGTCCGCTGACCTAATGCAATAAAAGAATTACTTGACGAGGTGTCCAAACAGAGCAGGAAAAAGCCTTGCGGAAGTCCCGGAAATGATAGAATGGGGTTTTAGAAAAAAGGTGGATTCGTAGAGTTTGGTTATTTGGCATTCGACCAGAAAAGCTGTTTGAAATGGAAAGCTTTTTGGACAACCAATTATCGAGAAGTTTAAAAAAGGTCATTACTGAGTACAGGATATACTATAATTGATTGATTCCTCCCAGGGAACTCAAAATCTGAGTCGGTTGCCGATTTGGTTCATTTTCGCCACTGGATTCGCATTTTGCAAGCATGACATTCAACGAACGAATGAAATGGACAAGAAAGGCCTGTGTAGAGCGTACAGTTCACTTTCGGATGGTGAATACTTCATGTAGCAGCATGGAATTTTAGCTAAACTTCAAACTGAATAAAAGGGACACCACTTGTCTGATAATCTATCATATTGAGCTTCATTTTGTTTCACTACCCTCCGATTACTATAACTTTTCAATAGCTAGGTATTTTTTGGACTATTTGATGGGTATTTCCATTTTTGGTATATCAACTGGTTCTCACTGAAGTCCGAAATCCACCGAATTTCTAGTATTTGAACGCTGTACTAATGACGGAACTTCTCGATTAGGTCAACGAGATCAAACTGCTGAACCTCTATCGAATACGGAACTTTCCTGACATATTGGATATTCCTTGGATATTTCTCTAGCCCCTCTTATGTATCTCTTTATAATCGCAGTAGCCGTTGTTTCAAAGACTCTTTGGAAGCAGCTCCACAACAACCTAATTATGATTTTCGAAGTTCCGAAAGAAAGCAGAAGTTCTCTCAGTGCCCCAAAAATGAAAAAAAGAGCCACAGGAGTCGAGGAAATCACTCTAAGTATAAGGTTATAATTCCTCGAATTGATCAAACAATCATCTAATTCCAAAAGAGTACCTGAAGTGCATAAGAGAACAGGTTTGCTAAGAGAAGTGGAACAACTGAAAAACGGAACTGAAAAAAAGGAAAAGTAATATATGAAAAGCAAAAGCTTAGCAGTTTCAATACATTTTCGGAATATATGCTAGAAGAATTCACTTGTAAACAGTCTTGGAAATATTTTTTGTAGCTTTCTATGAACTTACGTTTTTCATCGGGAGCTCTAGAATTTAACCGGGATCACAGAGATCAGGCAGTCGCTTAAAGAAAGCTACATACCCTGAGGGAATTCATCAAGTCTTTACTTTTTCCTTGTTCGCGAACCACCAGCAACGTTGGCATTTGATGGGCGAAATTCTAATTTCTCTTGAGTGCCCTGATAGTTTTTCAAGAGGTTGATTGACAGAAGCATTGCCATTACAAGGAAGTCAATTTCGGATTGTCGCTATTCAGCCTCATTCCGTGAGCTCTTCAATACAAAAAGAGAATAATCCCCACCCCGACCCTAAGATGGTACGAATTGTCTTGCGGTCTACTTATACTGGTTCTTTGCCTACGCGACCACCATCGCGCCGTAATTAAGGTACTCAAGAACGAGATCGCGGCTGTGCAAGAGCCACCTACTCGGCGAAAAACGAAAGGTCATCCGAGGAGGAAAGAAATATTGCGCATGATTAACAATGTATGCAGCAAAATAAGGCCATAATTTGGTTTTCACAATCTAACTTACTGACCGACTTGACAGCACTGTACATCAGGCTTTTCCATAAGTAGTCTGGTTACTTTCGAATGGAAATTTTCTACTAATATCTCAATTATTTACATCATTTCATGCACTTCCCAAAAGAGATTTGTCTGCTTTACAGAGCGATTCGTCTCTCTTCTATATTCATTTTCAGAAGTTAAAATTTTGGTCTCCAAAATGGAAGGTCCAGTTCAAGAAAATTAGCCAAATCCTCAACAGGCTCCAACTCTATTTTCCCCTAGGAGCCTCTGGCAAAGATAGACCAATTATTCACTTTCTACTCAGTCAAGACAACTTGTGTCGCGTCGTTCCTTTTTCATAATGAGGTTTTCTGGCAGAACTCAATGGTCCAGCACCACCGCGTAAACCTCGAAGGGAATTTTTTCATTCGGACTGAATACATTAAGACATTGCCCTGAAATTCGATCGAATTCACAGCGAAAGTAGGAATAAACCCGTGTCCAAGTAGAGAAGAAAAATCTCACGTATGGTATGCCAACTAGTAGTGTAAATAATGGAGCTTAACAGAACAAATTTCAGTTCAAAATCGCTGTAGTTTAGCGGCGGCTAGAAAAAACCACATCCATAAAGAAATGCATCAAGGCTTTTTCGACAACCTATTAGCGGAATGATAATTGTGAGAAGGGGTCGCGGTAAACTAGAGAGTGAATCACTGTGCAATTTCTTCTGGTGTAAAACAGGGTTACAGCTGGTTGTCGGTTTGGATACTTTAGTCGAGACTGGGCCTCCGAATTCGCACGCATGGATTTAAGGCGTCTGTAACGAATGCGAAAGCAAAAGTTATACTTTAGTGCGGTGGGACCAATCTACCAATCCACTATGTCACTTTCCTCATTACCTCCATAGAGATTTCTGTGACCACTTCCTTCAAGCTAGCTCAACTCCTACCGACACGTGTAGGATGCATTTTGAAGGCTATTGCAGTACAGCCACATGCACCAATAACTGTCCAGCAACTGTCAATCGCAGTGTTCGAAGGACAGGATACTCCTCCGCGAGAACTTATTCGAGACCTTGGCCCATGGGAGCATGTAGCGGAGCTTGCACTACAGTCGCGGTGTTCACGCACCCTATTAAGAGAGCCATGTTCTGTTTCCTGAAGGTCCACCATGGACAAAGTAACTTCACTCATCAACCACTCTAACTTCACTCAACCACTCCAGTCACTGTTTTGGGAGAAAGCCCATTTTCATTGTTCCCATTACGTGTTTCTGTCAGTGACGCCCCTGTGATGCACTGTAACGGTCCCTTTTTTTAGGTCACAGTTGGGAATCATGCCCAAGTTGCTCTCGTGCTTAAGTTTTGCACATCATTGCCTTTATAGAGCCGACAAATTCTTTTCGAAGATATATGACATGATGTGAAGACGTGAGATTTCAGTATGAAATCTCCCGTTAGAAAAAAAGCGACACATCTAGTACAGAGAACAGTTACACTGCCGGTTTCGGAGCGCAGATGAAAGAAAAAGGACAGAGACGTGTGGGAGGATAGAAGCCCTCGACTAATCGTAAGCAAGAACCAGCACGATTCGGAATTTGAGTACAGCGCATGGCGCATCCCAAAATAGATCGATTGGTGCAGATGCTTCATTCCTCACCGTATAACTTCCTCTAACAGTGATCCCAGCCAAGCAGAGTGCTAGAGCTTATGAGTGGCATAATTGAAACCTAATATCAACAATCAAGGTGCCGATTCCTTTGATAATGCATACAGAGGCAACAGCGAAAATCACAAACCTCGTGGGAGGTTCACATAGGGAAAATCTGGGAGAGGATAAGTAAATGATGGAAATTGCAATAAAAGGATACATTTTTGACAATTATCGTGAAATCCATACATTTTTGACAAGGTTTACCACGTCTTCAAAAGTTCAAATCATGAACACTTCCTATAATTCCATGAAACTCGTCTATTCTTATAACCTGTCGTTCACTGTGACGGTTGGAGCTATTAGAACCCTGGCATTGAAGTCTGTTCCATCCAATGGCAGAATAACAGCTATTCAAAGGGGATTGTGTGTGTGTGAGTGGGTGTATGCTAGCCGTGTCGGTTTCCAAAGGCTTCTATTTGCAACTAAATTGAATTTCCAATTCAGTCACAAGTAATTTCATTCTTAGTGTACGAGGATTTGCCCTGAGAGAACGCAACCAGATCGTGATCGCAATTTTCAGCACTCCGAATGTTGCGTCTCATTGAGTTAGTGAGTACTTCTGAGGCACCAATAGTTTCAAACGAAAACAAATTCCTGGGAAAGAGTTTGGAATAATTACCTTCGCAGAAGGTCATACTAACGCAGGTCCGTGTCACGGCTTGCCATCGATAAATGCGTTCACGAAGGACTCTGAGCACCTTGCTCTCCTCTCTTCTTCTGGATGATTCTCCCTCCCTGTCGGATTTCCTACTAACCTTTCGCCGTGGGGTCGCTTGGCTTTTGGCTCCCCCTTGACTCTCTTCACTCCTTGACTCTGCATTCATTTTCCTGTCTCGCGAATCATTGCATACCCTTGACCGGGTCGATGTTGTCTCTTCCTTTTTCGTTATTGAAATATTTTTCTTTCTTTACTCTTTCATGTTATGTACCAGCCACTTAGCAACAACTGCCCTAAAATATCCTCCTGCCAGATGGCGAGAGCGCGTCCATTGTACGCAAATAAATAAATAAACAAAAAAATAAGTGTCACTCCAAGATGAGCCATGTTCGAAGGTAACATCAAGGAGCGCTGTTTAGCACTTGCACATTGTGAGGATCGGATTTAAATCCAGCCTAACAAGCCATCTACTTTTCGAGAGTGGTGAGTTGTGGATAATTCGCCGGTAAAGTAAATGTGCTAGTGTATAGATAAATCGAAGTCAAAAATGCTACAAAAAGTTTGACAAATTGGTAGGTGCACACTTTTCAGCAGCTCTCGAAGCTGGACCCATCTTGAGCAGGAGTACTACGCAACACGCCCTCAAAAAAGAGGGCTCTTGCCGCAAAAATAAACAATAAAACTTTTAACAAACAACGCTCCTTTCAGGGAGTCTCAAAAACATTGCTCTGAACCGCAGAGATGCATTTCTATTTGAGAGTTAAGGTAGGGTTAGACCTAGTCCGGAGAGGCTAAGGTGGACTGGCGCTAGATCGAATGTGGGGTCAGTCTTCATTTGCTTCTTTACTATTCTCATGAACTCCCTTCCAGAACGATGCTGTGATTATTAATAAATGTATTGTAACACAAGAACATAACATATTCAAACAATTCAAAAAAGACAATAGTATTAAACATATAAAAAAATCTATTCACCGTCGGACCTAATTAACCAGAGTTCAAACTAGGATATTCTTGCAGTAGCAGATAGAAATATACAAATCAACAAAACACATAAATTGACTACGGCACGCAAACCTGACGCAACAATCTTTGTATGTGTGTAATGCGGTATTAATTGTATATGTCAACCAAGCAATCTTAGTGATTGGCCCTAACTCTTCCAGTGGCTTCGAGGGGCAACAAAACAGGGATCAGAGTGCGAGTTTGACGGAATTACGCGATTTGTCTAAACGTAGAGGGGGGGGATGCCAAAAGTTCTAGTTAACATTTCCAAGCCCCGGGAAGCTTTTGAAGATTACTATCGTCTGTTGTCGAACTGGCACGGAAATCCCTTCAACCAAACACCTATCAGATAGCGCAAACGGGTTCGTTTTTCAGGGCAAGGGCGGATGTGCCAACAATGTGGGAATGGAGCCCTTACCACGTCTGAGTCAACATCGCTCGCTTCTGAACAGTTCTAAATGCAATTTTCCGCACGTGAAGTCCAACTATCCTGTCAAAATCAAATCGATAGATTGGCAACACCCATGACGATTCCATCCCATCGTTCCCGGACAACAGGGAGTTGCCTTCAATCAACCCACACGTAAAATCCCCCACAAGTATATCGTTATCGATCAGCAACGAGTTCGAACAATATAATGTGGGCGGTGCGAAGTTCAATAAACCACTATTGGATCTTTCATGAATGAATCGAATCGCTGCGCTGCTGGTCGGAATCCGATTGCCCATGAAAGGGATCCTTTTTTGGCTGGAGAAGCCACTATGAATGTCTGGGGCTCAAAAGCTCAAGAGGAGGGGAAAGGTTGAACGACTTGCACGTGTTGATTGATTGATGTGGGTGGTAACGCCACACATTCAAATCCTACTCAAAAAAAGCATGCGAGACACAGAAATTGAAGTGGATGCGAAAGGATAACGTGAAACGCTCGATCATGTAATTCCAATGACAATAGTTTCATAAAAGATTGCAGTAGATTTGTAAGAACAAAGATAACTGCACTACGAATTTAGATAGTCTCTCGAAGGCCCCTTCAATTTATGGTCGAGCAATCTCTGGCATATACTATAATCAAACTGTAGTGAATAAACAGCATAAATATTTCAGAAATTTCTGCCACCCAGTATAGGCAGTCTATTTATAGTGCAGAAATAGGTGCACAGTGGAAACCGGACCTCGTCCTACGTCCTATCATTCATACCATTGGTACCTCGCCAAAACTCTGCCATTGAATTAGGTCCGGCGCAATGTGGCTCGGGGGGAGGGAGTCGCGCGCGCGATCTCTGCGTTTTTCTGTGTAAGCATTTCCTCTTCGCTAAATCGGGACTAAGCCTCGGGCAGGGAGGAGGAACTCCAGGATCATAGCAATTTTCATCTTCCCAAAGTTCCTGCCCACTCCTAGGCTTAGTACTACAGGGCGCGGACGAGCAGAGATCGCGCGCGGCGACTGCCCCCCCCCCCTCTGAGCCACATAGCGCCATTAGTTCCTTATTGTTGCTGCAAATTAATTGGGAAGTATCGAAAGGTAACGAGTTGAGTGGTGCACTTGAGTAGAAATATGTACCACCCTATGAGATATAGGGAAAAGCAACCAGAGTATATTTATTGCTACTGCGGACACTTACTCATTGTTTCCAAAGGAAATTCTAAGCAGAATTTGAATTTGACAATTCCACGAAAAAAAAAGCATATGGAAGAAATTTGATATTGAAGGTGTCTTCTATCATAAACATTCGCAACCGAATGAAAGAACTTCATCTGTTAACAACACTTGATAACAAGAGTTTTCAACCCGTATTTGGAGGCAAAAATACCAGACTTTTTCTTCATTAGAAGCGATTACGATAAAGATTGAGCGCTTCGGAAAAGTATGGGCACCACACGAAGCAGCAGCATGACTACCAAGTGAACGAGGTGTACCATTTAACGTTGCTGAGGAGTACCTGAAAATAGCCACACCACTAACCACCCCACCACAAGTTTAGTTCGCGTTTAGGCGAGCTGTGTTGCACGCAGCGGCAGAACTGCCGCAACTCGACTGGAACATGGTTTGGCATGGTGCCACCAAATACGTGTAAACTCGTCCCACGTCCGCCGTCTTAGCCGTTGCTCATTCTTGAGCGGAAACCAACTACCAAACAAGGTGGTCCCGTTGCGCTTCGTCGAAAACTCGCTGCTTTTCTCGCCTCTGGCGTACCGTTGAGCAATCTTACGTCCCCTCTAAGCCTCTCTAAAAGCTTTCGTAATCGCTGCTTTTGAAATCGCCAGAAGATAATATTCTACTGCACATTCTCCGTGCCTGACCCATACAGAAATGTACACGATTTTTGTAAGAACTGATAGAAATGGGATTGGGGGTGCAATGCGAGCCTATCCTACGGACCCTGCCAGTGAATGTCATCCGCTCGACGCAAAACAGAAGAACAAATAACTCACTATCTTTGATCGTTGGAACGACAAATTTCGGGTATCCGAAAATATTGGTTAACATAAAAAGAGCTAGCTCATTGCGGAACCAGTTTCTGCTAGAAAGTAGAAAAAAGTGTAGCTTTGAGGAAAGTACTTTAGAAAGTCTCTGTAGTCTTTGCAGTTTCTCCCATATAAATCAAAAATGGAAAAACGGCAGGTATTATCGCTACACCCTAATATGAAAATGAGAACAGATCTTCTAGTCTCTAGAAAATGAAATATGTCGTTACCCACTGACCTTCTCTTCCCTCCCAGGTCAGTGGTGTACGATTGATAACCCTATAGATTTACTTCAAAAATAGAACCGTTTCCTTTGCCCTCTACGTTTAGGCCGGCAATTCCGACTCCACCAAATCCCTACTCTACATACGTTGCCTGTCCGTCCGTCTGCGACGGGATTCGGTGGGTGGGGCATGGATCAAAAAGTACAAACTTTATATAAGGCGAGCAGAGCTTCGCCACAATAAGTCGAGCACATGCCGATGATAAAAGTTCTGCGTTCGGTTACAGAACAGCCCGAAGACAGGAAAATAACGGGTAACGGTGTGTACTGGTTGATGAGTCAACATTGGAGACTTTCCCGTCGTGGGGAGGCGTTCTGTAAATGCCTGTGCTTAATATAAAAATTCGTAACCCGGTTGGGAGAAAGCAGAAAAGAATCGATGTGGGAGAGCAATAATTAAAGCGCCCTCAACATATCCGAACTAAGCAAAAGCCCACCCACAATGGGTTGAACGTGTTATTGAATGGACAGTGTTTATTACAAATACTCATAACTCGGTCTCAAGAAATTTCAAAGACCAGAAAAAAGAGGGCAGTGTGGTAAAAAGAAGCTTGACTTGTATCGATGGGTGGAGTGTGTACCAAAGTGGGCGGACATGCTAATGCCTATAACTTGGTTATGAGAAGTTCCAGAACACGGAAAAAGTCGAGAAAAGAAGGTTGACAAAGGAAAGGGCATCAAGGGCTGATGGTGAGTAGTGCGTGCACCGGTGCACCGATACGGCAGTTTTTCAGAAAGAATTATAAGATACTGACTTCGCAAATTTATGAAAGTGCAGTCCCGTTGTGTGCACGCATGTCGCAGTGCACATCATCTACAGTTGTAGATATTATATACTGATACTTGAATATATAAATATATATATATCAGTTTGGCATGCGCACGCATTATATACAGGGGGGGCCAAAAAAAAAAGACATTTTGCCTATGTCGGACTTCGGCTCTTTTTTCTTCGCAGAGATTGCTGTCGTTGACGGGAGTTCCTCAGCAGAGTATTCCCTAAGTGTTCCTCTATTAGTGTACGCAGGTATAGCACACTCGTATGCTAACACTGCGACACTCGACCTCTATAGTCTTCAGAATATATGACGTCACTCTATGCGCCATATCTGGGGCATTCTTCATACGGACTATCATACACGTACAACCATATCCTCTTCTCTCATGAATCGATTTAAATTTATATTTTCTGAGTAAATTATAACTAGAATAGCAAAACATCTAATCTACGAAATCCTAGGTACCACAGAACTCACACACAACACTGCTTAGAGATAACTATCGATATATCTTCTCGCGAATTCGGTGCGATATAGTGCTGTACTATAAGATGTTTGCTTAATGCTTTTTGTGATAGTATTCTGCGCTGATTCACTTTTTCGAACAAGACGCGCTACCAATTTGATG